GGGGTCTTCGTTAGGCAATCCAAAGAACTTTCTCTCTTGAACCATAGTAATCATGCTGCTTTTGTTCTCATAGTGATGAGTCTCCATGGGTGGAAGAATACCTTGTCTTGAAGCATAACTTGAAGGTATATCAGCAGCACCAATAGATCTCAATGGTCTTTGAACCCAAGCTCCTTGTAAACCATGTGGACCTTGTTGTCCTTGTAAACCTTGTGGACCTTGTGGACCAAAACCAGAAGCAAAGTGATGTTCTTCCATGCTTCAATAACTGATTCTTGCTGCTGTGAACCCAAAATCTTGGTCCTTGAACTTCTTGTGCAGGTGTAGACACTTAAGAGCAAGTGTTTGGGTACCTACAATAGAGATTCTAGTCCAAAAAGAGCAATTAGTAACCATAAACAAAAATAAAAGCTTGATCTCAAACAATCTACAAATCATAATGCTTAGAACAATCCCAAATGGCAACGGCACCAATTTGATGTAGAATTTTACTCTACTTCAAATCCTACATATACTCATATCACACCAGGAATGCAATAGATTATCTAATTCATGCAAGCAAAAGAGGCGATTGAAACTATAAAACTACTGACTAAGAAAGACTTCAAACAAGCAAGAGCAAGCAAAATAAACAGAGAAACCACCACAGGTTTGAATTCAAACAATTAAAGACTAGTGGGCTTGAGATAGGGTAATTGATCTAGGGAGCCTCTTGGCTTAACTAGTGATGCTTCAAAACATTCTAAGCAATGCTATTCCTAGGCATAGAATTAACAGCTATAGCTAGCTCAATCCCTTAAACACTAACCACTTTTCTAAACACAAATTCAAGACAAATTCTTTTACTCAAACACATGATCAGCAAGCATTACAAGCAACTAATCCAATTCTATATTGCCAATCTACTCCTTAAACAGCTAATTCCTTAGGCTAAGATAAGCAAATCTCTTACTTGACTCATTCAGACAATTCATCAAACACTTTTCAGGCATGAGAAAACCTTATGATCTAGATGAACTTAGCAAGGGCTAGTCTAGCATTAAACTTAATCAATAATAAGGAACAATCATATTAAGCACTAAGCAATCACTAATCTAACCTTAAATCCCCTTATCTCTATCCAATCTTAAACCCTAAGTAAACTACTCACTAACCATGATCCTAATCACAGCCCAAAGCAAGGATGGATAACAAATCATGACCAGAGAGAAGATAAACACCAACTTTTGATTGAAAGAGCAAGATTCAACAAGAGATTACAAGAAAAACTAAGGGAAATCCAAAAGATAAAGCTATTATCTAGAGGGTAAAAGATGATAAGATGCTCCTTATGTTTTTAGGTCGCAGCCTATATATAGTTTTCAGGAAAAACCCTTAGTAAACCGGGAATAAACCGAAAAGCAGCTAGTTCGGGCACCTGATGTCGACTTGTTACGTCGATACTCTGGTCGATATTGGTTGGTAGGAGAGTGTATCTACCAAGTCTAATCGATACTATCATTGATACAGTCGCCTCTGGTTAAGGCGTCTCGGGTGATCTCCTCGGTATGCTGCTCGATACAATCGCCCTTTAGTTAAGGCTCATCGAGCTCCAATATCGATACAGGGATCAATACACTTCTTTGGCCTGCGTATTGAGATGATCCTATGTCGATATGATGACCGGTACAAGAGGCTTGAAGCAGGTGTATCGATCAGGGTAGCTCGATATCCTTCTGGGGTCCTGTCTCCTTGTATCGACTTTGGAACTTCGATGTGACGATCAGTATAGCTCCCCAGCATGTATCGACGCGTGATGTCAATACTCTGCTCTGTATGCTGTGTATCGATCTACCAAGTCGATATCCCGCTCGATATGAAGTTCCTTTCGCCTTGGCCTCTTCACCTTTTGATTCCCAACTTTTCCTCTGGTCCCCAAACTCCCAAAATGCACCTGCCAAGTGCTAGGAATGCACCTAATATGCAATGCAACTCCTAATTACACCCTAGATGTTAAGTGGATGCAATTGGGACATGAACATGTAGAAATGCATGCTTGAAGACTACAAAACAATGTAAACATGCATGCTAATATGGTGTAAATAATGAGTATATCAATACCGCACCGCCGCCAATGGTACTTACTTGTTCTGGAACATGTGAGTGTACCAGACAATAAAGACATGAAGGACGAGGTCTGCGTCAAGCTCATACCTCGACATTCTCTATTCATCTGGGAAATACAATAATGTATCAGGTTGAAGCATTACTACCACTGGGATGGGATGAAGCGAGACATCACCGTGTGGGTTTCTCAGTGTCAGACGTGTCATTTGGTAAAGGCAGAGCACAAAGTGTCAAGTGGGTTACTACAGGATTTGCCATTTCCGGCGTGGAAATGGGATATGGTGACTATGGATTTGGTTAATGGGTTACCAAGGACCACATAAAACAAAAGACGCGATGTGGGTGATTGTGAGGGAAATCAGTTGCTGGTTGGGACAAGAGGTAGGAATGTTTTATGTTATTTGTGTTACTGGATATCGAAGTGTGTGGGTGCTCTATAATTGCATCGTCGATGGCTTGACGAGCCCTGTGTCATGAGGAAGGACAACATGTGTGCTGTTATTTGCCACGGGGTGTGCGCAGTGAAGGTGTGGATTCACCAGTTAGGTCTAGTGATGTCGTTTCTTGATCTATGAGTGTCTTCGGACGTTTTTGCCTGTGTATATTATCTTAGGACTTTTGATGTAAGCATCAAGTCATGTACAACTGAACCAGTCAAGAGATGGAGCATTAGAGCTAAACCAGATGATGTTAAGCCTGTAGCTGAGGAGCTTGGAGGCTTTGTAGCTGTGTTTGAAGAAGCTGAAGAGTATATATCAAAACACCACCGTTCTGATCATCAGAAGGAGCCTTCTAAATCATCCCTGGTTCAATACAAGTCGTCACTTAACCAAAGAGAACCACTAAATTGTCTTAAACCACCAAATTAAGCCACATTGGAGCTAACTAAGGAAAGAAGGGATTTCATGATATTATATTCACCCCACCACTTCATTCGACCACCAAAGAGTATTTCAAGATATTCAGGATCACTAAACCACGCCAATAACCAGCAGAAACCGTCCCATATCCAAGAAGAAACCAAGAAGAAGCTACTTGCCTTAAAAGAGCTTGATTACTTTGCTACCTTTGGAAAGCAAGACCAGAATCTCTTATCACTTGAAGATCTCAACCATCCATTCACTTCATCACATCCTGAGCATCAAAACCAGTCAAAGAATCCTCACATTTCGTCACCACAAATCAAGCTCTCATTCCCCCATTATGACAACGGCTAGAAGACCTAAAATCCCATCACTTAAGCTACCTTGATCACATTTTATGCTTTATCTTTAATTCTTTTTGTTACCATTTTCTACCTTATTTCTGAGCATTATATAAGCTCATTTCCAGTGTATTTCATATTCAGAATATTCAAGAAATTAATCAAAGTATTTTGTTTCAATGAAAAGTTTATCTTTGTTTACAAATTGTTCCTGCTTTTTATTAAGTTCTTTTGAGGGATTCAGAGAGCTTGTGAGAAGTGTAGAATTTATTAACTCTTGTGAGGATTAGCCATTGAGTTAGTAAAGTCTAAACTTTTGTGCTTGGAGTTCAAGTACAACTGGTTTTCCATCATTCAAACCATTCATCCATCATTTGGCTTCTAAGTAAAGATTTCAAAGACAATAATCCTTGAAGCATTTTGAGGCTTGTATCAACTTTCATTTGGAATGGTTATATACGTGTGAGATGTATATCGTGGGTCTCTAGGATCCACCCTCACTGCGTATTGTTGGAATACTCATCTCTCTTTTCTCTGCAGATAAGCGCGTAGACATTCATGAGTAGTTATTTGGCTTCGTGATGATTTTGGGAGAAAAAAAAAATTTATTTATTATTTTTTATTTATTTTTAGGATATTATTTAAATTTACATTTGATTTTTAAGTCAAAATAGATATTTTGGATATAATCTTTAAAAATAAAAGTGAGAAGCGAGTGTTACAATATATATAAATATTGATGCTGAAATGAAAATTTGAAAGAAAAAAAACCATTTTTCAACGAAAAGAAAAATTTATGTTATATCCGTAGTTATATATATATATATATATATATATATATATATTCCAACAAGAACTAATATCTGAAAAATTTAGAATACAGGCGGGATTTTTTTTGTTTTTTTTAAGCTTCTTAACTAAAGTTTGTTAGTCTCACTGTTTAAAGCATTTTTGACATATTTTCTAGCAACCTTCAATAAGTTAAAAATGCAGATGGATTCCTTAATCATGAGAAATCTATCAAAAAATTATAACGACTTAACGATTAGAAATTTCCTATGGCTTTTCTATAAAAAATTGTAGTTGTCCATATAGTCGTTTGAATTTTCAATACCGCTCATATATCTGTCGAAAATCTGCAAAAAAATATTTTCTTAATATGATTCTATTCAAAGTCAAAAAAAAAACTTACAAATGTCTTCTTTAAACCATTCTGAACATTTTTGATCGTGAACAAACTTGCGCATGATCCATCGAACGACATATTATATATTGATGAATGAGTTCACAGAAGATTTTCAGCAAACATTTGAATCAAACAAGGACATGGCCTTGGAAATCCAAATCATAGATTGATGTCTGTGAATACAGTATGGAATCACCTGTACATACTGGTATATTTTATAATTTCGTAATTGGACTCGCTGGTGTATATGCAAATAAAATATTTTGTTCATCATCAAAATATAAACATATATTAAGCACGTGTAAGTAGTAAGTACCCTTATCGAAATGAAAATGAGATTCCAGAGGTTGATGATAATTATTAATTAATCAATTGATATTTCAATGATTTTACCATCTTTACCGGCACATATTTATTCCCAACCAAAATCACAACTCTAGTACATTTTTAGTTGCCTTCTTTTAACATCTAACACAAATTGGTAAAAGCTGGTGAAGACCTCCATTAATGCCCCCTTTCTCCTCTCCATTAGTTTTTCATGTGCACCTATATATACAAACACAAAATTATGTACCCTTCTTCATCCCATCTCCTATCAAACACCTAGAGTTCACAACAGCATATTTACATATTTTTTCAATCTACCAGCACTTTGAGTAATTGTACTATGGCAAAGTCGGTGGCTAATTTGGTGCCACTAGGGTTTTACATACTGCAAGTGATGATCATACTTGTGCCGCAAGCCAACGCCAGGGCTTTTCTTGTGTTTGGAGATTCCCTCGTCGACAATGGTAACAATGACTTTCTAGCTACAACTGCTCGTGCCGACAATTACCCTTACGGTATTGATTACCCAACTCACCGTCCCACCGGCCGTTTCTCCAATGGCCTTAACATTCCAGATCTCATCAGTAAGCTATTTTACTCTGCAAGAAATTAACACTTAAATTTTACGAAAAATGAATTAGTAACAATAATAATAATGATCTTTATAGGTGAGCATTTGGGTCAAGCGTCTCCGCTGCCGTACTTGAGTCCTATGCTGAAGAAGGACAAACTCTTAATTGGCGCCAACTTCGCTTCCGCTGGAATTGGAATCCTCAACGACACTGGAATCCAGTTTGTAAGTTATACCAGAATATGCCCTTCCCTTTTAAGTCATTTAACGTTTTGATCACTAGTGGGTGTTTCATAATTTCATTGCAGCTGAACATAATTCGGATCACGAAGCAGTTAGAGTACTTCGAGCAGTACAAGGTACGAGTGAGTGGGTTAATCGGAGAAGAAGAAATGGAGCGCCTTGTTAACGGAGCTCTTGTCCTAATAACACTAGGAGGCAACGATTTCGTCAACAACTACTACTTGGTCCCTTTCTCTGCAAGATCTCGCCAATTCTCTCTCCCTGACTACGTTGTTTATATCGTTACTGAATACCGCAAAGTTTTACGGGTTAGTTTAGGCCAAATCAGCCCTTCGGGCATATTATTAAAGTATTAAACCCAGAAAAACTACTCGAAATGAAGTGCCATTGGATTAATAATCTATAAAAAGAATCTGAAGCTTTTTCTGTCATTCGAAAACAGAAATTTAGGTGAAATATATTTAACATTACTCTAGATAACATTTATTACTAAAAATAAGTGGATCTAAAGTCATATCTCATCAAGTGATGACATTTTGAAAAAAATGGGATTTTGAAACAGCAATGTATCTTATATACAATCAAATTGTATTATAGAAAATGTACGATTTGGGTGCTCGACGTGTCCTGGTGACTGGAACAGGGCCGATGGGTTGCGTCCCCGCCGAGCTGGCTCAACGTAGCCGCAACGGCGAGTGTTCTACAGAACTACAACGAGCCGCGTCCCTATTCAACCCACAGCTCGTGCAAATGATCAACAACCTGAACAACGAAGTAGGATCGTCGGCCTTCATTGCCGCTAATACTCAACGAATGCACATGGACTTTATCAGTGACCCACAAGTATATGGTAAATGTCAATTTTTTTCTTAACATCATTCTGAATCCGGATAATATTTGAGCACTAGATATTAGTTTAATCGTGTTTGGCTTTCTATTATGTTTCGAGTAAATCTTTAGCTATATCACTAAGTTCCGTTTTGGTTTAGATGTTTTTTGTTTGCTCCTAGTGTTTACTATTTGTGCTCTCATCCCCAGGATTCGTAACGTCGAAGGTGGCATGTTGTGGACAAGGGCCGTACAATGGTATAGGATTGTGCACACCGTTATCAAATCTTTGCCCAAACCGAGATCTCTTCGCCTTTTGGGATCCTTTTCATCCCTCAGAAAAAGCAAGTAGAATCATTGCTCAACAAATCCTCAATGGCTCTCCTCAATACATGCATCCCATGAACCTCAGCACCATCCTCACCCTTGATTCCACGACTTAATCCTATATTAATCTATCCCGTATCCACTCTATCTTCTCTTTTTATTGTTTTGATTTTCTCTTTAATTATGTATTTCTCAATGGTTGCTTTAGTTAGTTTCCATGAGTATGTTGTGAGTTTTTGTGTTATTAATAAATAATTTAGTCACCAATTGTGAGTTGCGAAGCACAGTAGTATCTGTTTTTTCCAACAATCATTTAAATGTTCATTTTCCCTTTTTCATCTTTCCATTTAAATTTGAATCAATACAATAAAAACACAAGTGTCTCTTCCAGTGTCTCTTCCGGTGATGATACCTCAGTATTTTAGAGCTTTCTGAAGATGACACTTCAGCAAAAAAATTTACCAATCAAAATATTTTATCAATACAACTCATCTACTTATTTTAATTTCTAAACTTAAACTCATTAAAAATCTAAATACATTTTTTATTAATCTTCGTTTTACTTTTTAACAAATACAAGCCCAAATAATGAACAACAGCAAAGAAAAAAAAATAAATCTTTATTTTATTTTTTGCTAAACCCAAATCCAAATAACAATTAACAGCAAAAAAGAAAAAAAATCTAGCTATCTAATTGTTTGACAGAGACGTATATGATTGAAGAAAGTGTAGACTCAGCATCAACTATGCTTCTATAACAACAACGCAAAAAGCTTTATGTTATAAGAAGCACACACATCAGCAAAAATTTGAACCAATAAATACATAACAATAATACATATCATCAACACAATAATAAAATCAATTTACTATTTTGCTCACCCATTAAAAAGCCCAAAGTTTACAAAAAAATGAAAGTCGAAAGCAAATGAGGAGAAACTCAGACCACCACAGCTTGAAGATTCGCATTTCCGGTGGTTACCAAGAACAAATTTTCTTGGCTTTGGCGAGAATAGGGAATTTCATGGTTTCGGTAGGAAAATGTGATTTTCAGTTTTGGTAGAAAAACATAATTTTTCGGTTATGGCGGAAAAAAGCGAATTCTCGGATTTGGTGGAAAAATGTGAATTTTTGGTTTTGGCAAAACAAAAAATTGATTTTGACGCGAAAACAAAATATCTTAGTTTTGACGATAAAATGCGATATTTCGGTTTTGATGGGAAATGAAACTTTTCAATTTTAACGAAAAATTAGATTTTACGGTTTTGATAGGAAATGCAAATTTTCGGATTTTGATAGATAATGGGATTACTTGATTTTCGCAGGAAAATGTGATTTTTTAGTTTTCGCGTGAAATTGCAATTTGATAATTTTGGCAGAAAATGCAATTTTTCCGTTTGATGGAAAACAAAATTTCTCGGTTTTGGCTGGAATAAGCAATTTCTCGGTTTTGATGGAAAATGCAAATTTTCAGTTTTTAACATATAATGTGATTTTTTGGTTTTTGCGGAAAAATGCGATTTCACAGTTTTTGCAGGAAACATAATTTCTAGGGATATAATGCAATTTCTGGTTTTCGCGAGAAATTGTAGTTTATCGATTTTGGTAGGAAAGCGTGATTTTTGGCTTGAGAAAAAAAATGATTTTTCTTTTGGTTCTGGCGGAAATAGACGATTTCTCGGTTTTCACGGAAAAATAAATTTTTCGGTTTTGACAGAAAAATATGATTTTTTGGTTTTTGGAGAAAGATGAAATTTTTGGTTTTGGTGAAAAAATTTGATTTCTCGGTTTTGGAAGGAAAACACAGGTTCTCGTCAGGAAATGTGATTATTTGGTTTTTGCGAAAAAATGCATTTTCTCTGTTTTGGTAGGAAAATGAAATTTAGGTTTGACGAGAAAATGATTTTTTTTGCAGAAATAGGCGATTTTTCAGTTTAGTGGAAAAATAAATTTTTTTTTGTTTTGATGGAAAATGCGATTTCTCGGTTTTTGTAAGAAGATAAATTTTTTTCCGTGCTAAAATTTTAACTAAATTGATATTTCAATAGTTCAAACAGATTTTTTATTTAGTTTTAAAGTAATAGCAATAGTTTTGATATGAATATTATTGATTATAATTTAGTAATTTTAGAAATATATGTTTATAATAAATATTTGATAAATAAAAAAATTTATAATTCGAAATAATCATATGAATTAATAATGTTTTTTAGAAATGGCATTTTGCTTTATAAAATTACAAAGGAGGATCAAGTGGTAATTTAGTGGAGAAAATAAATTACATTTGGCATTAGCATGAAGGTACTTAAAAATGTATTATTTTATTCTTGCATATATATTTACAGTTAGTTAGCTAAACAAATTTGATAATAAATTATAATTTTGAAAAATAAAAAAATTAAGAATATACAATGTTTATTCTTATTTAAAACATATAAATACATAACTTAAGCTAATAAAAAAATATAATAATCATTTATATTATAAAAATAATTTTATTATATTATAATAATTTTTGGTTTTTGCCACTGACCTGTAATTTTTTAATGATCAATACAACAATAATATAAGTGTCTCTCTAGGAGATGACACATCAACTTTTTCAAGCTTTCTAAAGTTGACACCTAAGCAAAAAAGAACACCAATCAAAACATTTTATTGATACACATCATTGTTGAAGCTGGATTTGGCACCCCAAATCCGGCCCACTCAAGCCCAACGGGCAGGTCTGAACTAAGCCAAAATGACTGGGCCTCAAGCTTACGGCCCAGACCCATTTACCTTTCAACGATCCAATCCTGAGCAGCAAGACGCTCTGTTCGACGAGGTTGAGCTCCAGCTCGACCAAATCCCGAGAAACAAGGAAGAATCCGAACCGAGTCAGAGCATATTCTCGCCAGTTCAAATGAGTCCGAAGATTACAGAGGAGGTTGCTACACGCGGCGAGATTTCTGGCTGAAGCTGCTGCACGTAGCCGAGATACGCACTGGAGTTCGAAGCTCGATGAGGCGAGTTATATAAAAGAGGAGAATGGCTTAGCTCGGGGGGACCTTCGGCTTGATTTTTTTACACACTTTTTACACCCGAAAACACTGTAACTGCTCCCAGAGCTCTTTTCTGTTCATCTTTTTCATTGAGATCTTTGTAACCGTTTCATTCGACCGATTAATATCAAGTCCTTATTTCAGTTAGTGTTTGCTTATACAGTTAATCTGTTAGAGAGAATCTAACCCTTAATTCTCCTAAAGTATCTTCTCTTACAAAACACATAAATTTCTGAGTGTGGATTTCAGTATCCACATTTTGGCGCCGTCTGTGGGGAAAGATTTATAGATTTTTCTTACTCAAGAGCAGATCCTAAGCCAGCTGAAACCGAAATGGATTCAATTCAGAAAACCTCGGGAAACGTCTCACCGATTCTGAACTCTCCAGATCAAGTTACTCCGACCGGCAACGTCAGCCAGACAGCCGGCGAAAACGAAACCGGGTTACGACCCTCGTCAAAACCACCGGCACGAACTCTAACGTTCCCAGCCGAGTGGAACCAATCGTGATCAACCTTGTCACCCCACCGGGAACGACGAGCAGTCAGTCACAAACAGCCGAGAGGCCTCCCTCTCGAACCTGGATGCGATTTGAGAATCCACCTACAGCTTTGGCATCACAGAGCCGAGCAGCTCCTGTTTCTCCGCCGATACCCGTAGCTTCTAAGAGCACCTCGGAGTCGGCGGAGATCCTCCAAATGCTCACACATCTGATCGATCGACAACGAGATCAGGAGATCATATTAGAAAGACAGGAACGGCGTCAAGCAGTAGCTCGATCCGCTGCGAGTCCACCTCCACGGACTCAGCTCGACTTTTCGTCGATTCCTGCTCCGAGTAATCCACCTGGACCATACGTGACACCTCTGCGTGCTCCAGGTCCACCGAACTTCGCCCCTGCGGTGAACCAGACACCAATCGCCACGGATATTCCGGCTCCAGGAATACCTGAGATGGGACCTCGTCCCGCGATGAGATATCCATCTCCACCTCTGTCGACACCAGGAATATCCAAAATGGGACCTCGTCCCAACACGAGATATCCATCTCCACCTTTAAGACCCCCTGGAACCGAGCCACCTCGACAGAGATGGCTTGGATCCTCGGCATTCGCCTCGAGCTCGCAAACACCACCCCAGTTCGGCCAACAACCAAACACGACCTCGAGCTCGAGACTTCCAAGTGGGATCCGCAAACAACCCATAGGGTTCGTTCACCAACAGCTCGGAACCCAGATTCCAAATGATCCGATTCGGGCTAACCACCTCGGCGTCGGCTGAAGAAACCTAGTCGACTGTGAATCTTTTGAATGATTCCAGAATCAAACCGACTACACTATTCGGCAGATGAACTCCATGTTCCATCAAGCCACACGCTCAGCTCCCGACATCGATCAAGTAATTTGTGAGACCCAACGGACTCCGTTCACCTACTCAATCATGCACACAAACCTCTGAGACACTACAAAGTAAGAGTCCCGGAGTACGCTGGGAACAGCGACTCGGAAGCCCATATCTGACTCTTCAACCTCGCAGCTATCCGAGCTAATTTTTCCCCAGAAGAGAAAGAAGCAGGATATTGCAGGCTCTTCACCGAAAACCTAGTCGGACCAGCTCAAGAATGGTTCACGACGCTAGAAGAAAATTCGATCTCGAATTTCAACGAGCTTGCAGTAGCCTTCCTCTAACAGTATTCGATATTCATCGAAAAACAAGAAACCGAAGCTGATCTCTGGAAGCTAGTCCAAGCTCCAGATGAACCGCTTCGATCATACATCGCTAAATTCAAAGCGATCAAAGCAAAAATCCCTAACCCTAACAAAGCAGTAGCCCTGCTCGCCCTGCGAACCAACCTGTGGTACCAGTCGAGGTTCAAGGCAGAGCTCACGCTCTGACCTACGGACTCACTCGATGACGCGCTCCATCGCACTTTCATATACGCTAACTTCAAAGACGAAATAGCCGCTTGCGAAGCAAAATACCGTAACTCACAGCTCCACCTCGCACCCTCCGGGTCGAACAAAGCTAAAGTTACACCTCTCGAAGGTCAGCATTCATATGCTATAGAGTGCACGTCCCCTGAAAAAGAGTCGAGCTTTGACCAAAGCAAATACTGCGAGCACCACAAAAAGAACGGACATTCCACATAGGAATGTCGAACTCGAGCAAGAATCCTGGCGAAAAAGCTCACCAAAGAAAAAGCCGAGAAAGCCGAGGGAAACAGCGAAAACCCCAAAAAGACCTCGACCCGAAACAGGGAAACGGACCCCAACAAAGCACCTCAAAGACGAGATCGCGAAGTCGAGATCGAAGTCCAAACCCTTGACTCCACTCCATCAGTGAGAAA